ATACAAAAGCAGAAAGCAATGGTTACTCCATTTTATCTCCTCTAATATACATATTGTTTTTAGGATTGTAGCTTTTATTTCTAGAGTACTTCCAGTAACTTTGAAGCCAACATGAATAGCAATAACAAGTACATTCCTATATTGCTTATCAGTGAACTATAATTTCCTAAGCAATTTATACTGTGTAAACCAATTGCCCCCAACAAACTGGGTATCATTTTACCGACCTGCAAAAGGATGGAAGGCTGAGTGGATCTTGGAGCCCTCCTCTAGGATTGAATTTACAATGTTGTGGCTGCAGCACCAGCATTTAATCACTATGCCACCAGGACTCCTTAAGCTAGGGGTAGGCAACATTTTTGAGCTGGGGGCCGGTCCCGCGAAGTCCCTCCCACCACTGGGCCAAGGGGGGAGAATGGCGGTGCGCATGCATGCACGCACGTGTGCACCTCTGCGCGCGCACTGCCGCTGCTGCGCAGCTGCCTCGGCACGCGCCACGGCCACCATTTTGATTTTCAAAATGGAGGCCACGATGCATTTGCACATGCGCAGCAGTACTGTGCATGCACAAATGAGTCGCGGCTGCCATTTTGATTTTTAAAATGGCGGCCGCAATGCTTTTGCTCATGCGCAGTACTCCTGTGTATGTGCAAATGCGTCGTGGCTGCCATTTTGTAAATCAAAATGGTGGCCACGGTGTGCACGGCTGCACGGTGGCAAAAACGCGCAGCAGCGGTGGCATGCAGCGGTGGTGGCATCAACCTTTCTCCTGGGCCGGTAAGTCCAGGGACCTGGGCCTTAACCAGCCCGCGGGCCGTAGGTTGCCGATCCCTGCCTTAAGCTGTCCAAATACTGAGACTTCTGAAATTAACTTTTATTCAGCCTAACTAACCACGTTTGTTTGTTTTGTTTTTTTAAGTGAGGGGACAAATACACTAATATATTAAATGGTTGATTAAGTTGCTACCCAGAGGACCATCTCTTTGAAACTAAGGGCCTAGACCAGGGGTTGGCAACCTTTCCCCTTTAAGGGCCGAGGGACTTCAGTTCCCAGAATCCCAGGAGCTGTTGGCCAACTTGGGACTATTGGCCAACATGGCTGAGGCTTCTGGGAGCTGAAGTCCCTTGGCCCTTAAAGGGGAAAGGTTGCCTACCCCTGGCCTAGACAGACTGCAAGAAATAATCCAACTTGAGACCACTTTAACTGTCCTGGCTCAGTGCTAAGGAATAATGGGAATTGTAGTTTATTGTGGCACCAGAGCTCTCTGACAGAGAAGGCTCACTGTCTCAGAAAAAACTACAGTTCCTATGATTCCCTAGCCAGGACAGTTAAAGTGGCCTCAAGCTGGATTATTTCTGGCAACCTGTACAGGGCCCAAGAGAAAGATAAGACAGCAAGACATTTTGTTATTTACAGATTTGAATTTTTCTTAATCCATGGGAGGAACTTTGGCTAAAATAAACACGATATCAAGAAGTACAAAACTTTATTTGAAAAAGGCTCTCTCTTTCTCTCTCTTCTCTCTTCTAAGAAAGGAATGGTATGCCTATGCCCACATGTTTTTTGCTGAAAATCTCTCCAAGTTACAGCTTCCTTTGGGAAAATAAGCAAATACCTTTTCAGGAAGTGCAACTACAGGAAAGAATGGATGAGTGGGTGATGAGTTAATTTGCTTTCTCATCTGTCAATGTACTGTAATTGCTTCCTTTAGACCTGTGTTCATATTACAACAAAATAGAGGAATGTATTTGTTTCCTCCACAGTTTCTAATTTGGCCCTTCAAGACTTTTAATCCCATTTTGATCTGCTCTGATTCTGACTGCTGGAGGAGGTGGCTTTCTGAGGAATACGCAACAGTTCAGTTTTGACTTGCTTTTTTGAGTTTAGTTTCCTCAGAGGATTTTATTTATTGAATGTTCTCCAAGTCCCTGAACTTCAGTTTCTTTTAAAGCCTCCTGTATAGTTTCTATGCATCTCAATTTTTCCTGTTCTGTCTCAAAAGCAGATATTTTTGTTTAATATTTTATAAGTCTGTGGCCTCTTTGCCATCCTCTTAAATATCATGTGTTTGGGGAGTAGATGTAGTGGGACAGTTGAAGCTTCAGTCTTTTCTTCTTTTTCAAGACTTTGCTGAATTTTTCCTGGAGATATTTTCCTCCTAGAAAGTTCTTCAAGTATTACTTTCTGATTTCTTCAGTCCATTTTCTATCTTAACCAACACCAGCCCTGAAAGATTTCATCCCCTTTGCTATCAGAATAGAAAAGTTGCATAGAAGTTTACTTATGAAACCTTCCTAAGTTTTGTGGTTTTTGGGTAGTTTGGATGAGCATCAAATTTTATTGCTCCCTGGGCTGTAATATTTAAGCCCATTTTAGAGCTGGAAATTAAGACTTAGATAGAATTGAATGGGAAATATTTTCTAAAATAAAATATACATTTGGATGACCTTCTTTTGGTGAAATCCGAGAAGAACTGAGATAGGCCCAATGGATTTTGTTAAATCCTACAAAATTTCTCTGAGTTTCATATTTTCCAAAGCTCTTTCCTCCCTCTTCCATCAGAACAGATATTTATGCAAATGGCAAAACACATTATCTGTGAAGCTCTGATAGAATTATTATTTTTGACCTAACCTAACCTTTGTGGGAGCAAGTGTGGTGTAGTGGTCTGAGCATTGGATTATGATTCTGGAGACCAGGGTTCAAATCCCTGCTTGGCCATGAAAACCCATTGAGTGGCATTGAGTAAGTCATACCACATCACACCAGACTATTTGGGAGACCGTACCTCCCTACTAGAGTCCTAAGATCCTCAGGAGAAGGCTTTCTCTCAGTCCCGCCACCATCACAGCTCGCCTGGTGAGGACATGAGAGAGAACCTTCTCAATGGCTGCTCCCACCTTCTGGAATGCAAGACTGACTCCCTCTCTGCTTGCCTATCACCAGCAAGCAAAAACGGTTTTGTTCCGGTAAGCTTTTAATGTGTAATCATGGTATGGCTTTTATATGGGGTATTTGTTATATAGGGTGGGTACTGTGGTTTTATTGTGGTTTTAATATTTGTAATTTTATATTGTTTTAGCTGATGTTTTTAATTGTTTTATTGTAATATGTTTGTTAGAATTTTTATTTGTGAGCTGTCTTGGGTCCTTTTCTGGGAGAAAGGTGGCATAGAAATCAAATTAGAATAATAATAATAATTAAAAATACCGCACTACTGTATTATAGTACTGCTATTCTGCTTTTACTGCTCTGGCTGCCTCTTGTTGCATTCTGAAGGTTGTAGTTCAATGAGGCCTAAGACCTCTCTGGCTGAGAATTCTAAATGCCCCTCCTTAAACAAATCCCAGAATGCAACAGGAGGCAGCCAGAGCAGTTAAAGTGGAATAGAGTGTAATGTGGTAATCTAGCTAATGTCTCAGCGTTGAGGGAAGGCAATGGAAAACCTCCTCTGAACAAATCTTGCCAAGAAACTCCCATGATAGGCTCACCTTAAGTTGGAAATTACTTGAAGGCACACAATAGCAATAACAACAACAACAACCCTTTGCAGAAAACTTTAGTGTCATTCCTGCTAGGTTTCCCAGGTACCATCATTCATAGTCAATTTCATCTACACAACAAATTGAGATACATTCCTCCATGTAAATATAAGTGTATTTTGGTGTGCATCCTACCAAATGTTTCCATTTCTAACATACACATATCATCTATAGACTTTTTTGCATTGACTAAAGGGTATTGTGCACATTTTTCTAATATGTACTGATTTTGGGTTTAGAATGAAGTTTCGAGGAGAGAAGAATGGGAAGGAAACTTGTAAATGATTGGACAGTCAGTGCAAATGTCTCCGGATAATGGAGTATCCTTTCCTGAGGGAAGTATAATTGGGTTTCTGTTCATTTGTAAACCCAAGGTCTACCACCTATCACCTATCAATGAAGGGATTATGCAGATTCTGATCTTGATTGATCTATCCTAGCCAAGTGCTCTTGAGCTTCCCCCGTGCTAAGCCAGTACATTTTCCTAATATGGTTACAGATGCCCTTATAGGGCACAGCTGGTTCCTGCACTAGGGGTTCTTTCTTGGCTACATGCCTAAAACATCCCTTTTGACAACAACTTCATATTGAATAAGAGGAGTGTTGCAAGGGGCTTGGCCTTTAGAGTAACAGCCTTTCACTCAATCTTCCAGATTTTTCTGGGGTGGAGACTCCAACTTCAGGAGGAGGTCAGTGCTATGGTGAAGGAGAAGGATGGGCATGCCCTTTTGGTAGCTGCCCCCTTGGCAGCACCCATACACTGGGTGACATCAGGAGAGAGGATACCACTGTTTGGTGTAAGGGGGATTTGCAACAGGGGTTCTTTTTCTGCCTATCATCTGAAGATCATTCATGGGAGAGGGTGGGAATGTCAAGCAGCTGCTTCTCAATTGACACGGGAATGGTCTCCCATCAATCCCAGCAGCTGTTTATCAGTAAGGGAGTTTGGGGTGTCATGTTGGAATTCACTACATAGCAACATCATTGCAATGCTACGTTGTATTAGATTCTGGTAGAGGTTTTTGTTCTTTTTGTCTGAGGCAATTAGGTTAATTAAAGTTCTTTCAGAGACATCCAGTGGTGCTAGCCTTCCCCCACAGGCCTAGAAAAAATGTTTTTGTTGAAGTTGAAAATTTCAGCAGAGGAAAAACCCCTTTATTTCTATTATGGATATTTGGGATGGATTATTTAATACCTAGGACTAATTGAGCCTGGGCTGTTTTACAGCTTTTAGGTCTTAGGGTTTTACAGCCATATCTGGATGATGCCTACTATAATGTATAGCTTTAATACAAACTGAATGTTTACGATGTTAGGTTCAACTGATAATTATGTTTCAGACTGCATAAACAAAATTATATGCTGTTATGGAATGCTCACTTGGGATGTGAAACACAGAAAGAGAATGGAATTTTTTTTCACTGTTATATTTTTCCTTGGATTTACCAATAATTTAAGAAATGCACTATTAATAAAATTAGGTTGCAATTGTATAGTCAAATAGGATCCTGCGACCAACAGTTAGAACTGCTTTATCCTTTAGCCTTAGCTCTATTTTATCTTTACTGGTTCATACTGGGAGTGCTTAATCTTTTATTTTATATCTTATTTTTAATAGTATAATGGTATTTTTTACAATATTGTTCTAAATTTTATATATTATTTTATGATTTGTTGTATAGTTTGCCTTGAAAAGCAGGATAGGAATATTTATTTAAGAAAATCTCATTCATATGTAGAAGCTGAATTACCAAATCTGAATCAAATATTTCTTTCACATCTCTATTAAAGATATTGGCATAAAGGGCACTGATGATGCACCTGGGATAAATTGTATTTGAACTATGCCTTTATGCACCAAATTCTAATAAAATGACCAATATCAATTTGCTGCTATTGTGAGTGATTATTTCTTGTTCTCCATAATTATTTCTTGTTCTTGAGTGATTATTTCTTGTTCTCCACAACCAAAATAAAATAAAATAAAATAAAATAAATGCTGGCATTCTCTTTTTGGAAAAAGAGCAGAGTTTGGGTTATAACATGTTACAACTTATATCCTTCTGTCACTTAAAATTTGGTGTTTATTTGGTGTGAATACTGTCAAGTTCCACATATTATGCTTGATTTCATGGAGAAGACTGAGAGGTGACATGGTAGCTAGCTTTAAAAGCTGAAAGCATGACATATAGAAGATGGAATAAACTTGTTTTCTGATGCCCCATAGACTAGAACTTGAACCAATGGATTTAAATCACAAGAAAGGAGATTTCACCTAATCATTAGGAACTTCTTTACTGTAAGAGGTTCAACAATGGAATGGACTGCTTTGAAAAGGTGGACTCTCCTTTTTTGGAGGTCTTTATACAGAGGTTGGATGAGCATCTTTCAGGAGCACTTTAGTTGTGTATTCATGCTTGTTATGGCACCACAGCTCTCTGACAAAGAAGGCTAAATACCTTCAAATCCCAGAATTCCATAGCACTGACCATGGCAGTGAAAGCAGTGCCAAGCTGCATTAATTCTGCCATACAAATACAGTCTTAGTTTGCTCCACAGTAAAATAGTTTAAATTGCACTAGCAATCTACATTTTGTACTCTATTCACATTCCAGTGTGGCACCACATTAATGTGTTCTGTAGGGCATCTGAAATATAACTCTTGCAGCTTTGGGAGAAACTTAGACTCTCTCACTGACAGAAGTCATTTCCATTAATACAGTACCTTAAGAACTTTTCTCTTGCACTGGCAGAGAGCACTTTGCATTAGCTTTTTGCATGAATTCTAGGATTAACGAATGTTTGCCGATGTGTAACAGCAAGTAAAATTGTATGAATAGTGGGCTGAAACCATTACAATGAGAGCTTATATTTCTTTTATAATCTGCTCTTAAAATTAGAAGCTTTCAATTTTGTCCATTTTAAGAAAGTGTTTTTTTTAAAAAAAGAAAGAAAGAAAGAAAAGAAAAGAAAGAATAGAGAACTTGAGGCAACCTGTGGCCATTTGGCAAGTTGTTCCAGTTCCCTGAACAATGGTAAATACAATTCTGCTACAAAAAGTAACAGACATTAATTATGTTCCTTTCCCTATTTCTCAGGAACACATGTATGTAACTATCTCATTTTATCAGGGCTGGTCTCAGACATTTTCTTGGCTGAGGAGGACAGCAAATGGCATCTTCCTTGCAATCCCTGCAAGTCAAGGTACACAGTAGTACTATAGGCCAGACAAATTATTCTGTCACCTAAGGCAGGAAATCTAAGTGCCTCTCCCATTTCTTGGCAATATACATAAAATGGTAATAACTAACCATTTGCTGCCCTTTTATAACATCCAGAATCTGTTACCTGAGGCTCTGGCTAGTGACATGTCTTGCTTTGTGTTTAATTTCTAAAAAGAATTCCCTGAAAATCTTTCAGATTAAGGTAATATCTTAATAACTTTAATGAGTACAGAAATTACTCTGCCCTACTCACATCCAATCATAATGTGATCCAACATCATAATGTCTCTTTTTAAAAAATAAAATGTAATTCTAATTTTCCTGGAAGATGCTACAACAGTAATGATGTTGCTATTAGCAATATCATTTGTTTTTGAAGCCAAGGACTGGGGGAATCCCCTGCATAGTTTGATCTATCCACTTCTGCATAATTTATTTTCATTTATTTTATGAAACTACTTGCATTTGTTACAACCATTGGAAGTCTTCCAATTTTGTGGTGTGTATGTTCCCTTCTATGGCCCTGAATGGACATGGAACTGTAAGCAGCCATGAGCCTAAGAGCAGCAGATCACATATTCAGGGTATTTGAATAACAGATCGAATAGATAGTTTGGGAGCTGCAAAGGAAGAATTCACACTTCTGTGACAGGAAGACCAGGTGATTTACAGCAGGATGTTCTGCACTCAAGCTGGAGAGTGCCCATTTACAATCCCATTCCCACCTCTATCTCGAGTGATTTTTCCCATGCAGATGTGGTGCTTTTTATGTATCTTTACCTCAGATTAGTTTTGTCTTATATAAGGACCCAAATTCTTTTGTTCCCTGGGCTAGCTAGAATGTATGGTGACTCCACATCTCTCTGGATTCTGGCTAGTTCTGACTCATTGCCATCCCTTCAGAGCTTCCCCAAACAGCTGAGTCCAATGCCAGACCATCCAATTGGACCACTCA